GGGGGTCAGGCAATGTGATAAGATGGCTATGCTGTCCCTGTCAGAGACAGGGGTCAGAGAGCCTCCTAGAGAAAGCACTGTCTGAAAGGTGACTGGGTCTTAGATGTAAAGGGTGGAAAGGTACTGTTATAGCCTGGGCAGAGACCTAGAAGCAAAATGGGACAATAGGGTGGAGGCCCTGACTGTATCCTTCATGCTCGAAGTACTGGGAAAGGTAGTAGGAGCCAGAGTCTCTGGAGACTTGTGGGCAGGATTAGGGCATTTATTTAGACTTTGTCCCAAGACAGCCTCTTTGGTGCTCAGAGAAGTGACTTGCTTGGAGCTTAGGGTCTTGTTGGGTGGACTGTTCGTATCTGTCTTGCCCTTGGGTAGGGGAACTTGATCTCTGATATCCCTGCTTCTTCAAGTTGACTTTGTGGGACCTGGGTGTGGTAGCACACATCTGTAAATCCAGTACTGGGGAGTAGTATAAGGTAGGACAATCTAGAATTTAAGGCCAGCCTGAGCTATATAAGACTGTACCTCAAAAACAGAAAAAAAATCAGGAGTAGAAACTTGGAGCATTAGCCTCTAAGGGCTAGGGGTCAGGGGGAGGGGGAGTACCATCCAGTCAGTTCTTACCCTCAGATCAGAGCTGAGCTCCTGCGATCTGTGGACCAAGCTGGGTACCTCCTCTATATGACCTTGAGCAGTCACATAGACCTCAGAGCAGTCTTGTGTTTCAGATGAACACACCAAAATGCCCCAGGTGGCTGGTGAGTGATCCAGTTCTCTCAGTGGCCACAGCCAGCCCTCTGCCCTATGTCAAAGGGTTCAGTGGACTCTTCAGGATGGGCCAGCCAAAGTTGGACATGCAGCTCGGGTGCTGATGGCATTTGAGGAGCTATGTGCATTGGAATTGCCATCCCTGCAGAGTGTAGTGATCATCAGCACAGAGCACCCTTGAAGATGTTCTAGAAACCTCATGTGTCTGTGAAACCCGTATGTGGGCTCAGCCCTGCTTTCTTTTCTTGGTACCTACTGCTTTTTTCTGTAGAGAGAAAATGCTTTCTCACCTAGATCTTTCTGAGAACCTCACTGGTCCCAGGCCACTGATACTGACACTAACCTTGTTTTCAGCTTAGGGAGACCTGTGACTCTCTGATCAGGGATTGGTTGCAGCAGAGAGGCTCCTGGAGGAAGGGACCACAAAAGTGAGCATGACAGTCAGTCACACAGACTGACAAAGCGGGCTGGAGCTTTGGGCCAAAAGCTGGGGCCTCATGATGGCTGTGGGTTTCCTTTTGCAGTGTTCCTGCATCCATTGTCAGAAGCCCTGCAGCTGGTCCCAGGGGTGAGCTGCCTGCCGGGGTTCCTCCTTACATCCTCTCCCCACACCTCAGGTACTTGGCTCATTGACTGGCAGCCTTTGGAGAAGGTAGCTTCTTTCCTCTTCCTCGCTGTGAGGAAGTTCAGGCCGACTTCCACCCAAGGGATTGGGGAGAGTGGTAGTGGGACAGGAGAAATGAGAGAAAGTGCTCAGTCTTGTCCTGAGTTGTAGGGTAGGAGGTGCCAGTGAGCTTTGAGAACTGGAATCCCCACAACAGCAACCAGAAGTGAGCCAGGGCTGGGGTTTCCTGGGCTAGACAGCGTAGGTACAAATTGGGCCAAGGTGGGCAGTACAGATGTCAAGCATCCTGCAGATGGACCTCATACCTGCTACCTCTTTGTGGTGAGGCTCCGTTTCTGCTTTGCCTCCCTTAAGATTGAGGGTCTCAGTTGTGTTTGGGAAGAATGGGAGCAGGTTATCTGCCAAGAGTCAGGTAAGAGTAGTGAAGAGAGCAGTCTGTGACTAGCAACTTCTTGCTCTGGGGCTGTGGAAAGGTGAACTTAGGGGGACCTAAGTGGTGCTGTTGGGAATGAAGAATAAGAACTTGATCTTGAGTCTGACATACCTGGCTTCAAATCCTGGCAACATAATTATGTGTGACACATAGGCAAATAGCTTGCCTCATCTAACTCACCTGCAAAATGGGGGTTAAAATATCAGTACTTGTGCTTGCTTCGGCAGCACATATACTAAAATTGGAACAATACAGAGTAGATTAGCATGGCCCCTGTGCAAGGATGACACACAAATTTGTGAAGTGTTTCGTATTTTTCAGCAACTGGAAACCATGGGAGAAGGGACACCATTCCAAATAAACCAAAAATACCTCCTTAAAAAAAATAAAATAAAATATCAGTACTTATACTTTGGACCCTCCTGGCACAGGCAGGTGTCACCATTATTATTACCACTAGGGCTACTTAGTCCCTGACTGCCTGGGTGACCCTTTCTCCTAACTCCTAGGTCCTCAGGCATTCTTTATTCTTAGGCCTGGGTGTGCACTAGCACTCTTAGGTCTCTAGTAGGGGTAGGCAGGGTGCAGACGGAGGTTTCTGCAGCAAGAAGCTTCTGGAGTGATTCAGCCTTTCCCCAAACCAGCCCCTTCGCTTGCTCCTTGGTGTGCTGAATGATGGTCTTCCTTGGTGTACAGCGAGGAGGAGGCAGAGCAACTGGTCACAGCACACTGACTTAACATCTGGCCCCTGCCCCATTCCAGAGCAAGAGCCCCCGAATCCTGGAGCTCTATTCATAGACTCTACCTCATGTACTCCAAACCCTGCACCAGACACTGAATGCCATTTCCCTGCCTAGGCCCCCTTTGTCAGGAACACATCAGCACATGCACCCATGCCTGCCTGACATGTGGGTCTTCCCTTGTTGCAGTCCCCCAAAGCCTGTGCTCTGGCTCCAGGTGACAGGCATGAGTGCATGTGGGCACCCCTGGGCTTGCAGCCCCCTGTAAGCACGTGGTCTGCTGGGCTCCCTCCAGCAGCTCCTCTCACATGGTCTACTTCCTCTGACTTGTGTCTGCAGGCACACAACGTGTATTTCTAGTTCACTGGGCTTGGGGCTCCCTCTGAGAGGTGGAGCTGCTGGTTCCAGTCTCCAGCCTCATGGAGGTGCCCAGGGTGATTTTTCTGTCTGAGGCTGGGTTTTGGTTCTCTGCTGTGAACTGGATTGGCTGTCAGGGAAGAGAAAAAAAGTAAAAGAGGTTTGTTCCAAAAGGTTGTTTCTCTACTTTTCCCTTTTGTTTAAATCTGCCCCTTCTTGCTGGGACTAGAGTGACTCAGTGCCCTCCTAGGCTGTTTCTCTCCCTGTAAATTCCACAAAAGAGCCCCATTTGGTTGGGGCTCTGCCTGTCTTCAGGACCCAGGAGCTGAGGAAGGAAATGGAGGAGGAAGTTACTTCCTTTCTGGGTGCTGGGTGAAAGTGAAAGACAGGGAGGGGGCCTCCAGTGAGTCAGCCAGCCAGGCTGGCAGGCAGGCCAGTCCAGGAGCCAGGGCTGGAGCTGCGGAAACGTGCAGAGGAGAGATAGCACCGTGTGTCAGGGAGGGGGACCCGAGCTGGGTGTAGGCAGGGCTTCTTGTGGGCAGGGCTTCTGATGCCTGGTCTCTGCTCTCTGCTGGTTTTCTGGGAACTGTCCCGCTTGCTAACATGTTCTCTGTTGAATCCTGTGTCTGAGCTTAGTAGGAACTGCAGATTCATCCTCCCAAGCAGGTGGTCTAAGTGCCTTGACCCCTTCTAGCCTCCCTTACCCTAGTGAACCTGGGCCAGAGTTTTGGCAAAAAGGGTATGGGGTGGGGCATAAAGCCCCCACTCCTATCAACTTCCCAGGGAGAGAAAAAAAAAAAGCCAAATTCAAATTTAAAAAATATCTGAAGGGGGCCTGGCATGGTGGCGCACACCTTTAATCCCAGCACTTGGGAGGCAGAGGCAGGCGGATCTCTGTGAGTTCAAGGCCAGCCTGGTCTACATAGTGAGTTCCAGGACAGTTGGGGCTACAGACCAATATATATATATCTGAAGAAATGAAAAAACTAAAGATATATGCAAGCTGCTATGTAAGTTGTAAAATACAGGCCTGGGTTCTGTTCTGTAGCAATATAGCAATATCAATAAAACAACCTTTGAAAAAATCAAGTGAGAGGGAATTAGGGGTGTGCCTCGGTTATACAACATGTGCTTAGCCTATATGAAGCTCCTATCCCAGCACCAAAAATTTAAAAAGGGGTAAAGTAGAAAAATTGTGAGCACTTTATTTACATCATCGGAAATCTTGTAAGCCCAAGTTCTAGCAATCTGTATCTCTCATCTGAGTTAGACTATTGGCTCAGAGTTCTGGGGGTTCTTTAGCAGTGGAGGGGAAGGAGGTGGAGGGCAGCAGCAGCTGCTGACCAGCTACTAGACTAGATTGGGCCCCCAGCCAGACAGGGTTGCAAAACAGGTTCCATGCTAGTTTGAGAAAGACTCTGGCAGCCAGAGCCCCACCCAGCAGCTCTTCCCAGGGGTGGGGCCTCACCTACATGCCTCAGTTTAAAGGCCTGAAAGCCTGGCCCTGGGTCCTGGACTTTGCAAGGGCCTGGTGGGGCTATGCTGGAGGGGTAGCCATGCTGGGAATGACCCCTGCTCCATTCTTCTCCATACCTCCCATTTCCTTTGTCTTCAAGTGAAATGTCAGAGGAGGCACTGGCCTGAAGAAGGTTCTTCTAAGTCTGATTAGGAGGCTGTTGGGTTGACAGATATGTAAAGAAGACCAGGCCTGGACTGCCTAGTGTGCTCTGGGGCCTGTTTTAAGAGGACTAAAGGAGTCTTACTTGGCCTTTGTTTTGTTGCCTGTTTTTCCAACTTGCCTCAGTGACAGTCTAGATGTCACTCCACTTGGCCCTTTGGCATGTGCCTTTATACAGGGCACAAATGACACAACCAAACTCAACAGACCTGGAGTCTGGCCAGGAAGTGGTGGGACAAAAGGAGAGTGACAGTACTTTTGGGGAGGCTGCTGATCCTGCTGCCCTGCCCAATAGGTCCTGGCTCCCGTGTATAGTGGTCCTCTTTAACACAAGGCAAGGAGATGCAATGCTGACATCCAGGGATCCTATGGCTGACGCTGTCACTGCTTTTTCCTTTGCAGGCTCCAGGGTCCTGTGCAGCATCATAAACAGTGAAGTATAGTCAAGTCCAAAAATCCCTCCAGAAGAGGAAGGAGCCAGCACTTCTGTGTGACCGCTCTGTTGGCTTCCTCTGCCCCTGCTCTGCCCTCATTGGCTTCTGGATTGGAGCCAGGCTTCCAGCAGGAACTTTTCCCAAGGGATGGGCAGCTGCTGAAGGAGGTCTTACTGCCAGGGCTTAGTTGGCCACACCATGAACCTCCAGGCCCAGCCCAAGGCCCAGAGTAAGCGGAAGCGTTGCCTCTTTGGTGACCAGCAGCAAGCTGCCAAGGACCAGCCACCCCTGCAGGCTCCACCACCCCTACAGGCTCCACCACAGTCCCTCAGAGCGAAGGAGGAGCAGTACGGGACCCACGAGGGTCCTACAGGAGTTGCCTCCACCTCCCAGCCTGTGGAGCTGCCACCTCCCAACAACCTGTCCCTGCTGAACTCTGTGATGTATGGATCTGAGCGGACCACAGCAGCCATGTTGGCCCAGCAGGCAAGCTCAGTGAAGTGGCCTAGCCCTGTGATAGGTCCAGGACCAGGCCTGGAGCGTGGAGGAGGTGGGGGCATCAGTGACAGTGGCTGGCAGCAACAACCTGGCCAGCCTCCACCCCATGCTGCATGGAACCGCCTGTCCCTCTACAGTGGACCCAAGGGGAACCCTCATCCAGGCGTGGGAGTCTCTTACTATAACCACCCTGAGGCACTGAAGGGGAACAAAGCAGGAGGTCCACAACTGGACCACTATGGAAATGCAGTGCGGCCTATAGTGCCACAGAAGGTACAGTTGGAGATGGGGCGGCCCCAGGCATCCCTGAACTCTTTCCATGCAACCAAGAAACCCCTGAACCAGACACTGCCCTTGCAACCCTTCCAGCTGGCATTTGGTCATCAGGTGAACCGTCAGGTCTTCCGGCAGGGCCCACAGCCCTCCAACCCCACTGCTGCCTTCCCTCCTCAGAAGCAGCAGCAGCAACAGCAGCAACAGCAGCAGGTAGCCCTGCCTCAGATGCAGCTCTTTGAGAACTTCTACCCCATGCAGCAGCAGCCTTCTCAGCAGCCCCAGGACTTTGGCCTGGCACCAGCTGGGCCACTGGGACAGACCCACCTGGCTCACCACAGCATGGCCTCCTACCCTTTCCCTCACAACCCAGACATGAACCCAGAACTGCGCAAGGCTCTCCTGCAGGAGTCTGCCCCACAGCCTGTGCTACCTCAGCCCCAAATCGCCTTCCCACGCCGATCTCGACGCCTCTCCAAGGAGGGGATTCTGCCTCCCACCACCCTTGATGGGGCTGGCACCCAACCTGGGCAGGAGCCCACGGGCAATCTGTTCCTCCATCACTGGCCTTTGCAGCAGCCACCACCAGGCTCTTTGGGACAGCCCCACCCTGAAGCTCTGGGATTCCCATTAGAACTGAGGGAGTCACAGCTGCTGCCTGATGGGGAGAGACTGGCACCCAACGGTAGGGAGCGGGAGGCTCCTGCCATGGGTAATGAGGAGGGCATGAGGGTAGGGGGCACAGGGGACTGTGGACAGATGATAAGAGGTGGAGTGATCCAGAGCACAAGACGGAGGCGCAGGGCGTCCCAGGAGGCTAATTTGCTGACCCTAGCCCAGAAGGCAGTGGAGCTGGCCTCGCTGCAGGCTGCAAAGGTAAGAATTGGGGCTGAACCTGGCAGCCGACAGGGGCTTGGGGAATAACAAGTGATGCTAGAAGCACAGGGGCAGTTTTTCAGTTGTTAAAGGAAATGAAAGTGCTTCTTTATGCAAAGAACCTGTGTGCAAAGCACCCATACCTAAAAGGAAGCCGAGGTTTATACACATGGAGGCTAGCGGGCAGGAAAGGCCTTGTTGGCTTTTTCATGTGGGACCTGAGGAGTCTGGTAGGGGAGGGTAAGATCCAGTATACAAAACAAGAATATGGAACTACACAATGATTGAGCTTGTCAAAATGTATCCCACTGTAATTTTAAATAGGTTTGTTTGGTCATATGTAAATTATACTGCAATACAGTTGATTTTTTTTTTTTAAGGCCCCTGACAGGAAGAATGAACAGAATTTGAGCACTTGTTATCCTTGGTTTTTTATAATTTTATTTTTTTTATTTTATGTGTATGATTGTATTGCTTGCATGAATGTAAGTGCACCTGTGACATGCAATGCCCTCGGAAGTCAGAAGAGGATGTCTGATAGATGTGGCATATCTGACCCCAAAGTCAGCATTTATCTTTTCCTTCCATAGAAGTTCTCAACTGCCATTAGAACCAGCCTGATACATAGAAGGCCCCAGAGTTTTCTTAGGGTCTTCACTCTAGTCAGATGCCCCATGGGGAAATGGCTGCAAAGACCACCGTTCATCTTTCTACCGCTTCCTTATTTGGTTTGCAGAGACAAATATTTTTCAGTATTTAGATGCTGTGTCATAGGGTCACATACCATATGCCACATGAAACAGATCTGCTACTTGTGACCAGAAATGATTATCTGGACCCCCCTGCTTAAGGTCAGGATGGCAGGTCCCACAAGAAAAGAGGCTGTGGAGAGTATTTGGAATGTAGTAGGAAAAGGGGTAGTCAGGGAAAGGCCAGGTTGTCAGGACCAATGGGTGTTTGAGCTGCTGGATTGAATGAGTATAAACATCCTGGATCAGCAGATGAGGATTTACCTTCTGAATCTCATTGCTACCCCTATCCCATCTCCCTTTTCTCCAGGATGCCAGTGGCCCTGGAGAGGAGAAGCGGAAAAGTGTTTTGGCTTCAACTGCCAAATGCGGGGTAGAATTTTCTGAGCCTTCCTTAGCTGCCAAACGGCCTCGAGATGAGAGTGGGATGGTGCCCCTCATCATCCCAGTGTCTGTGCCTGTGCGGGCCATGAATCCAACCGAGGTGGCCCAAGCTGGAGGTGTTGATGAGGACGGGAAGGGTCCTGCACAGAACCCCATTGAGCACAAGCCATCAGTCATCGTTACCCGAAGGCGGTCCACGCGTGTCCCTGGGGCAGATGCTCCAGCTCAGGTATGAGGCTCTTCCATCAAACCCCTGCAAAGCCAGAGTGCTCAAGCAGTAGAATACAGTTTTGGAGAGTTACAAGGAACCCGGGGAGATACTATTTTTATTTTCTAAACCAAACTTCTAGTCTAAGATACATGTGGGTTATGAGGCACTTTTATACTTGAAACTGTGTTTGGGAGACTCATGTATAAATCTCTTGTTGCTCAGGTTAGCAAATTTTGACTGGCCCTGTCATGGCCCTGTGCTAGATCCTAGGATATAGAAAGTTTGCTTGTTCTGAGATATGTACTCTCTGCTAAATTGAGATTTTGTTTATTTTTTCTCTTCTGTCATTAGTTTTATATCTTTTGATATGTTATTTGGTGCATATTCATTTAGAACTGGATTAAACTTACTGTGAGAAGTTTCTTTTTATCTTTAGTAATATTTTGCCTTTTAAATCTACTTGGGCATTTAGCTTTCCTTTGATTCATGTTGGCAGGGTGTACCTCTTTCCTTTGGCTTTCATCTTCTCTGTATCCTTTATTTAAGGAATATTTTTAAGTAGCATATAATAATTGAGGCTTGTTATTTTCTAGTCTTAACTTTTGTCTTCTAATATAAGAACATCAATACAATTTATAGTTCCTTCTGTTTATTAATAAAAATTGTATATGTGGTTTACAACATGATGTTTTGATATTTGTATATTTTGTGGACCAGCTAAATCAAGCTAATTAACATAGTCATCACTTCACATCCTTTAATTTTTTTTTTGTGGTGAAAACATTTAAAATCTGCTCCCTCACAATTAATTTCTAAGTATACAATACACTTATTAATGAAAGTCATCATTTGTATAGTAGACCTACTCAATTTATTCCACCTGTTTTACTGAAATTATGTTTCCTTTGATCAACATCTCCCTAATCCTCATCCCAGCCCTTGGTAACCACCATCCTACTGTCTGCCTGTGTGCTGTTTTTTAGATTGCACCAGTAGAATCCCCATTTGATGTAATTACTGTTATACCTAGGTTGAAACCTGCCACCTACTGTTGGCTTTCTGCTTCTGTCATCCAGTCTTTCTTATTCCCCCATTGTTTTCTGTTGATTCACGTTATTTCTGCCTCTCCTTTGCCAGCTTACTAGTTTTGCACTTAGTTATTTCTCTTTCAGTGGTTACTTTGGCAGTCCGCTTACCTGGATTTCTGCAGATGGACTGTTGTCTGGATTATTTGGGGGCTGTCACATGTCTACTACCATTTAGAGTAGAGGAGAGATGCTAACTTGTTATATACAGTATGACATCAGAGCTTAATTCCCTGATGGAGGAGATTTTTTTATTTATTTTTTTTCCTTTCTGAGACAGGGTCTCCTTATAGCCCCAGCTGGCCTGGAACTCATTATGTAGACCAGACTGGCCTTGAACTCACAGAGATCCATCTGCCTCTGCCTCCTGAGTTCTGGGATTAAAGACTTGTGCCACCACACCTGTCAAGATTTTAAGTTAGTACTTTTGCCTCTTCCTGAACAGAACAAAGTTCCCAAGGTTTTAGCTCCATTTTCTGCCAATCCCTAACTTAAAGAATTACTGACAGGCATTTTAATTTATATTTTAACATCAACAGGACATTATAATTTTTTTAGTTGTTAATTACTATTTTCAAACACCTTTTGTTATTTTTATTTTATGTGTATGAATGTATTACCTGCATGTGTGTCACTGTGCAATGCTGGTGGAGGTCAGAAGAGGCATTGGATCCCCTGGAACAGGAATTACGAACAGTTGTTAGCTGCCGTGTGGGTGCTGGGAACCAAACCCAGGTCCTCTTTAAGAGTAGTCAGTGCTCTTAACTACTGAGCCATCTCTCCAGCCCTAGTTGTTAATTCTTTCAGATTATCCCAACATATCTCCTTTGTGTTGCTTTCACTTTTCACATCTCCAGCTCCCATCATGGATCCTTTATATGTTACCTGAAGAACATCGCTTAATATCTTTGGTGTGTGTCTGCTAGTGATGAATTTTATTGGTCTTTATTATCAGAAAGTGGTTTTATTTTATCTTCTTTTATGAAGGATAACTTTGCTAAAAGCTAGATTCTAAATTTTTAAAACTGTTTTTTCTTTTTCTTTTTCTTTTTTATGAGTGTATTACCTGCATGTATGTAAGAGTACCTGTGTCGTGGAATGCCCATGGAGGTCAGAAGAGGACGTTGGATCCCCTGGAACAGGAATTATGCACAGTTGTTATGTTATGCCATGTGGGTGCTGGGATTTGAACCCAGGTCCTCTGCAAGAGCAACCAGTGCTCTTAACTACTGAGCCTTCTCTCCAGCTCCTATAGTCTAGCTTTGTATTTATTTCTGTTTGGCACTTTAAAAATACCATTCTATTGTCTTTAGATTTCCATTGTTCTTACAGCATTAAGAAATCACTGTTGTTGTTTTAATGTATTTTGATTCTTGTTGCTTTTGTCACGATTTTAGTGCAATTTGGTTGGTTGGTTTTTGTCTTTGATTTACAGTAATCTTGCTTTTTACCTATGTATATTTATCCACTTGGAGTTTATAGTGCTTCTGGAATATTTTTTCTACATTCATCTTCCTCTTTCCTTCTGGAACTCTACTTATGTGTTTGTTAGCTTTTACCATATCCCTATTTCATTCATGTCTATCATATACTTTTATTTTCTTTTTTTAGTTTGATCTACTTCACTAATCCACTTCACCAGTTCTTTCTTTAGCCACGTCTACTATGTTAAAGTCATTAAGTTCTTATTTTTGGTTATTTCACCTAAACATCTTTTACATTTTTATTTATTGTGGGGGGTGCACATGTCATGGAGGTCAGAGTACAACTTTCAGGAGTTGGTTTGCTTCCACCATTGGGACCTGGAGATCGAACTCAAGTCATCGGGCTTAGTAGAAAGCACCTTTACTCACTGAGCCATCTGGACAGCCCTATTTCATTTTTTAAATTACCAGATTTCCATCTGGTTCATTTTCAGAGTTTCGGGTTAATGAAAGTCTCAATCTTATTTTTATTTTATTGCATAAATGAAATCTAGGGTTGTTTTTTTTTTAAGTTTATATCATGACTCCATGTCATTGTTTTTTGTTACTTGTTAATTTTTAAATCACATTTTGCTTTCTTGTATCTTTTTTGTGTGTGTGTCTTTTTGAGACAGGGTCTCCCTGTAGCCCCAGCTGTCCTGGAACTCACTATGTAGACCAGGCTGGCCTTGAACTCACAGAGATCCGCCTGCCTCTGCCTCCCAAGTGTAGGGACTACAGGTGTGTGCCACCACACCCGACTTGCTTTCTTGTATCTTAATCACGTATTTTTAATTGAATGCCACATCCAAAGCTGGGTACTTGATTGAAAAAGTTTATTTAGTTTATAGTGTTGGAGGTTGAAAGACCAAGACTGGAAGACTTCATGTGTTTGGCCCCCTTTACTGTATCACAACGTGGTAGATGGCATCGTGGGGTGGGGGAATATGGGTGAGACCACAGTGATATAGAAAGCAAGAGGAATGAAAGACCAGGCTTGCTCTCATGAGAACTAACTCATTTCTTGATTAAGCATTAATGTCTTCCAAAGGCTCTGTCTCCTGACTAAATTACTTAATCCCCCCTCCTTCCTTTTTTTTTTTTTTTTGAGACAGGGTCTCTCTGTAGCCCCAGCTGTCCTGGAACTCACTATGTAGACTAGACTGGCCTTGAATTCACAGAGATCCACCAGCCTCTGTCTCCCAAGTGCTGGGATTAAAGGTGTGCGTTACCACTCCTGGCCTTCCTTCTTTTTTAAGATTAATTATGTGTATGAATGTGCTGTGTGTGGGTATGTGTACAGATGGCTGCAGAGGGCTGGAGTTAATGGGTACTTATGAGCCACCAGAGGAGGGCACTGGGACTCAAACCTGGGAACTCTGGAAGAGTAACAAATGCTCTCCAGCTGCTAGGCCCTACTAATACCACAACACCACTGACAAGGACCAAGCCTCTAGTATGTGAACCTTGGGTAGGGGATAAACCACATCCAAATCCTAACATCAGACTGGATATGAAAGATGTCTGAATCTGGCTTTGCTTCCTCAATACCCTCCCTGCCCCATCTCTTCAGTTCTTTTTTTTTTTTTTTTTTTAATGTCCTCAATTTATTAATAAATAGTGAAAGATTTAAAAAATTATACTTGTAAGCTTTTGATACATTTCAGATTGTTTTAATTTTTTAAGCATTAAAAGACTGGGGCTGGAGCGATGGCTCAGCAGTTAAGAGCACTAATTGTCTTGCAGAAGACAAATCCCAGCACCCACATGGCGGCTTGACAGAGGTCCATAACTCCAGTTCCAGGGGATCCGATGTCTCTTCAATCCTCTGTGAGCACTGCACATCACGGATGCACTTACACACATGCAGACATAACACTCATACACATAAAAGTAAATAAAATAAAAATTTTAAAAAAGTAGACAAAGAATGAAAGAAAATTTCATTAGACAATTCTTATCTCTGTGCCTAACTCACTGAAATTTAATGATGCCACTGCCTTACAGTCAGTTAAATAAATTTGCTTTCTGCCACAATAAAGTGTTAATCTATTCCTGTTGTTACAGTTTTAACTATTTTTTCAGTTGACATAATAACCAAGGAGTATCATATTAGCTAAAATTTTTCATTAACTCTTAAGTTGTTCAAAATACTTTTGTGGGTTATTTTTCTTTCTTAAAAGTTTTGCCAATACTTGTACTGTCCTTGTATAAACCGGCATACTTAGACAAAAGGGGTACACATTCTTATTTAGAAAAGTTTATTGAACATTATTCCTGAATCACACTTACCAAAAAAAATTTAATTTTACCTGAAGGCAGCCTTTCATTTCATATGATCTGTACTCCAATGGTTTTTGTAGTAAAAATACAATTAAATAGGAAACTAGTAAAATGTAGCATATAAAACTTCATGGCAAGCAAAATCAAGTCCAAAAAAAGTTATTATATATCCATAGGACAGTCCCCACACTTCCAATGAAAATCATATCTGAATGCAATCTTTAGAACCATATTGGAATACACTTGCAATCTATTAACTGTAGGTTTCCATACTTTTCATCCTTCATGGAGTCTGCTGCGTTAAAGTTGGCAAAATCTGCTAGGATCCATAGAAAGAAAGAAAATAAAAAACAGTAGTCATTTCTCAAGGTAGTTTCCTGAGATTTCTGCTCCACTGAAGTCAAAACCAGGATTTTCTTTCTGAAATCTCTCTAATGTAAGCTTTCTCTGCATTTGGCCTTGTACCCAGGGATCTGCTGCATATTCAGATTCTAGAAGTGAAGTCCAACAATTTGCTGCATCTCTCTTGGTCTTTGTAAGAACAATGCGGACCACTTTTTTATCCTCCAAAGTCCATGTCCCCTCATCAGCTATTGTAGAATCAAACAATTTTCCCTTGAGGATCTCGCGGCCACCCACGGCCAGAGCCACATAGCTGCTCTGCAGGCCGCACTGGATGTCCTGCGCGCGTGCCGGGGGGCACCTGAACTTCAATGAATACCTCCTCCAGGGTCTGGTACCACTGGCCCCACGGTGTCCCGCATGGCACCACTCCACTGTGTTCCTCAAACGGGGCAGAGATACTCCACTCGCCACCCACGGCCAGCTGCAGCGACTGAGCCGTGTGCATGCGCCTCTTCAATTCTTTTGTTGTTTTATTGTTGTTTTTTTTTAAAGTACTGATTTTTTTTTTTTTTTTTTTTTTTTTTTTTTTTTAAAATTTTGTTTTTTTTTTTTTTTTTTTTTTTTGATATTTTTTGAGACATGGTCTCCCTATAGCCCCAGCTATAGAACTCACTAGGTAGACCAGACTGGCCTTGAACTCACAGAGATCCACCTGCGTCTGCCTCCCAAGTGCTGGGATTAAAGTGTGTACCACCCAGCAAAACACTGATGTTTTAAAAAAATGTTTTTCATTTATTGTTTTTTTTTTTTTTTAATTTTTGCCTGCATGTACCTAAGTGCACAGAGGTCAGAAGAGGGTGTTGGATCCCCTGGAACTGGAGGTAAAGATGGTTGTTAGCTGCCATGTGGGTGATGGAAACCAAATCCGGGGTCTTCTCTGCAAGAGCAGCCAGCGCTCTTAACTACTGAGCCGTCTCTCCAGCCCCAAACACTTATTTGTGTGTATGCACAAGTGCACTTAACCTCGGAGCCATCTCTTTAGCCTCTCCACCTTTTTTTTTTTGTGACAAGGTCTCTCACTGAACCTGGTGCTCACTTATTTACCTAGACTGACAGGCAAGAAAGCCCCAGGTATCTTCCTCTTTCTACCTCTTCAGTTTTGGGATTACAAATGTGTTCCTCCACACCTGGATTTCTCTGTGTGAATTCTGGGGATACAAACTTAAGTCCTCATGCTTGAGTGTCAAGTTCTTTACCAATGGAGCCATCTCCCCAGCCCTTCAATACTTTCGTTTACTATGAAAATATAGGTTTCTTTTCCTTCATTCAGAATTGTTCAGTTAACCATCTCTCCACTTTAGATATCATTTTAAAGCCTTCTATAACATCTTCCCACCTTCTGGAAGAATTTGTCTTTACATTCCATTTTATTTGCCAGATCAGAAGCCATAGGCTTCATGACATTTTTTTTTTTTTTTTTTTTTTTTTGGTCTTTTTGAGACAGGGTTTCCTTGTAGCCCCAGCTGTCCTGGAACTCACTATGTAGACCAGGCTGGCCTTGAACTCACAGAGATCCTCCTGCCTCTGCCTGGGAGTGTTGGGATTAAAGGTGAGAGCCGCCAGGCCTGGCTTCATGACAGGTCTTGGTATACAATGTGGGCTTCTATCTAATGCAGAATCTGGAGTTTAAGTAGTATTAACAGTATATTACTATAATATACTGTTATATATTACATGCTTCACTGATTTCTACATATTACCTCATATTACTGTACAAGAGGCTGCACCATCCTGTCTGTTTTCTCTTCAGGCTGAGCATCTGAATGTGACGTTGGAGGAGGAAATGTGGGCTGGGAGTTTTACTCAGTGGCAGAGTGCTTGCCTGACATGTGCAAGGCGCTGGATTCAATCTCTGTCACTGCAAACAGAAATGTGCTATGTGATATGCTTATTAACTTCTGTATATTAGCCCATGTAGTCTTCATAGCTGCCACATCCAGGTTAAAAGAATGTACACCGAGAGTCCATCATTTTGATTGGCTAACAAAGGCAACAGATCCCTGTCCAAGCAGTCTGTCCCTACACCCTGGCCTAAGAATTGAATTCTCTTTTTCCTATTGTATACTTTACAAGGATTGAGAACCATGGCCCAGTGGCCAGATCCAGAGCTAAGAAAGAATACTTCCTAGATTTTGACAGGATTCATTCTCTTTCTCTTTGAAGAAAAAGTAGAATATGTGGACTACAAAACTTTAAATAATCTGTCCTTTACATGAAATTCACTGACCTCTGGTTTTGCCCCAGAGGAGACAGTAAGCCTATAAAGTTTTTGGACCTGCTTCTCCCTTCAGGCCTGCTTTGGCAGGTGCAGTGGACAGACAGACAGTTCTAGAGGTAACATTGGCAGGCTCTGGTCAAGACAGCAAGTTTCTGGGGACACAGAAGGTTGAGCCACCCTTGTTCTGTTTCCTTTTCCTAGGCTGAGGATCTGAATGTCAAGTTGGACGGGGAGCCTTCCATTCGGAAACCAAAGCAACGTCCGAGGCCTGAGCCCCTCATCATCCCCACCAAGGCGGGCACTTTTATTGCCCCTCCTGTCTACTCCAACATCACCCCTTACCAGAGCCACCTGCGTTCTCCTGTCCGCCTGGCTGACCATCCCTCTGAGCGGAGCTTCGAGCTGCCCCCTTATACACCACCCCCCATCCTTAGCCCTGTTCGAGAGGGCTCTGGCCTCTACTTCAATGCTATCATATCAACCAGCAGCATCCCAGCCCCTCCTCCCATCACACCAAAGAGTGCCCATCGCACCCTGCTCCGCTCTAGTGAGTGACCCTCATGGCCATGGTGGTGGGGAATGTGGAAGAAGGGCACTGGGCAGGGAGGCAGTTCAATCTCCAGGCTGCTGTGATGTGGCTGGAGGCTGTGGGAGAAAGAACCAGGGATGGCGGTCCTCCTACTTGGATTTGGATCCTAGTTTCCCTGTTCACTATCACATTCTTTTGTGCAAATCATTACATCTCCCTGAACCTCAGTTTCTGCAGTACTAAGTGGTGATTAGTAGCACTTGGCTGATAGTAGAATTGCCAACATTCAGCCATTTTTGGATCCACAAACAGCAGTTTCCCATGGTTCAACCTAATAGCTATCTTCTATGGCTGTGGTGGGGAGCATCTGCATCAGCATGAGAAAAGCCCTTAATGCCAGGTGTGATTGAGTTTGTTCATAATAGGTGGCAGACCTGGTCTCCAGGGTCTATTGAGCAGTCATTTTGGCCAAGAACAGGCCTGGGTGCTGGGTGCTGTACCACAGCTTTCTGAAATGCCCATTTCATTTCCCTTGGAGAAGTAGAGTGGATTAAGTGGAGGTTACACACACACACACACACACACACACTTACCCTGTACCTTCAACCAGTTAACCTCTGACCCAGAGTGCACTCCTGGCATAGCTCTCTTGTGCCCCCTGGTGTCTGTAAATGGGAAATGAGTTGCCCTGTTGGCAGGGAGTTTCTCTTCTGGGCTGGGTTTGTGCTGGAAATCACTGAAGAGAGCAGACTGGCAGCCAAGAAGATATCAGGCTGCCCACGAATGTTTACACTTGGGTGTAAAGTCTTGAACTGGATCCTGTGCGGGATCCAAGAATGTATGGGACACCATGGTCTATTTTAAAGAAATGCAGTGCGGGGTTATTAGGGAGTTGACAAAGCCTGGGAGATAGAAAAGCAGAGGTTCCTGGCAATGTGGAACCAGCAGCCAGTGAATGAAGCCAATACCAAGCTCCAAGCCTGCAGAAGCCTGAATAGATAAGGAAAGCATTTAGGAGCTTGAACTTCTGAGTGGGAGGTGCAAGGAGGGCAGAGCTGGCAGAGCTAATGACTGCTGCAAAGTCATGGTGATAGGACTGAGCAGGGAGCAGTGAGGGCCATGAGGTGAGCAGGCCTCTATCCAGGGTCCAGGCCACTGGTGGCAGGAGGTACAGGCATGGCAACTGCCTTGAACAGCTAAGGATTTCAAGTTTTTGTCTCAGATTGTAGAGAGAGACAGGTTTTTTGTGTTGTTTTGTTTTGAGTAAGGGAGGGTCTTGATCATGTCAGGACTTAAAAAGATTAACTTGGAAGAAAATGAGGCAAAAAAAAAATCTAGAAATGAAATAAGAAGATAGTCATAAAATAGAGATCTCCTTTACTGCCTCCTTGGTATGCCTAAAGTTGCAGCCTCTTTCCTAGAAAAAACCCGTAGTTCTGTATTGAAGCAGGCTGTGTAGCATGGGAGCTCCTGGGAGCAGAAGGGCTTTGGTGGTCGTGGTAACAGTAATAGTTCACAGTCATGGAGTGCAGGCTCTGTGCATTATTTCATTCAGAATTCACATTATTCCTAGGAGGCAGGGAAGAAAGAACCTCTCTTTGCAGGTATGAAAACTGAGGTACCCACATATTTAATAGAAGGGTCTGACTTGGCACAGTCATCAGGCTGTAGAGCTAGGATAAAGGGTACCTGAGTTCCAAGTGCACTCAATGAGTCATCACTGTGACTCTTGCATGCAGGACAGGAGCCACCCAGGATTGGGGGTTGCTTTGCTGAAGGGAAGAGGGTGCCATTTACCAATCTGTTCTTTGCCTACAGACAGTGCTGAAGTCACCCCACCCGTCCTCTCTGTGATGGGAGAAGCTACTCCTGTGAGCATCGAACCGTAAGTACAGCCCTGCCTTGGGCCCATGGTGTGAGGGTACATGCAGGTTCGCTCAGGAAGTGAAAGATTTTGTGGCACCTTGGGCTTCTGTGGTCTATCCTGGGCTCTACTATCTCCACCTGCTTCTGTGTGGAAGTTATAGGGAAAGGAAGGGGAAGGACTGGTTTAGCTTGAATTTGTCACTGGGGAGAGCTAGAAGGGGGGTTCTAAGAGACTCTTTCCCTTTCTGCTAAATGTGGAGCAGCTTCTCCCCTTTCCAGCCTCTTGGCCTTGCCTTTCTGGTCATACAAGGTATCAGGAAGTTCTCACTGTCATCCAGGAGCCAGATTCCCTCCACCTAGCTGTGGCCTTGCTGCATTCAGCATCTGCCGACTGCCTAGTCATCTTCCCATCTCGAGGAAGAAAGTCAGGTTCTCTGTCTCCACAAGGTAAAGCCTCACTCCCTGCCCTTCTATCCCCGCAGACGGATCAACGTGGGTACCCGGTTCCAAGCAGAAATTCCCATGATAAGGGACCGTATCCTGGCAGCTGCAGATCCCCACAAGGCTGACTTGGTGTGGCAGCCGTGGGAGCACCTCGAGAGCAGCTGGGAGAAACAGAGACAAGGTAAGGGGAGACTCAGGGTGATCAGGGAAAGGCAGGCTGTAGGCAGGTGGGCAGGCTGGGTCTGGTCAGGCCCAGCTCTGAACATGACTTCTTGTCCTCTTTCCTGTGTTCTGGTGAATCCAGTGGACAACCTGCTGACAGCAGCCTGTTCAAGCATTTTCCCCGGTGCTGGCACCAACCAGGAACTGGCCCTGCACTATCTGCATGAGTCCAGGGGAGACATCCTGGTAAGACAGCCCCATTGGTTTAGGGAGGGCCCCTTAGGCAGGCTTAGGTCCATGTCTGCTGTCCAGAAGGCAGGCCAGCTGGTACGTGCCCATTGCTCATTTGCCTTGGTTTTACTTTTTGTTTGTTTTGTTTTTTGAGTCAGGATCTTCATGTAGCTGGCCTTAGCTGGCCTGGAATTCCCTATGTAGACCAAGCTAGCCTCCCTCTCAGAGATCCGCCTGCCTCTGTCTCCCAAGTGCTGGGATTAAAGGTGTGCACCACCACACCCAAATTTTTTTTCTTTCAAGACAGGGTCTTGGGTAGCCAGTTTGGCTTCAAACTCTGTGTTGCCCAGGCTGCCCTCAAATTCATGGCTATCCCCTTGCCCCAGCATCCTGAGTGCTGGGATGACTGTCCTGTGCCACAATGCCTAGATTGGCATGTTGATTTGAGGCACCTGGGAGGATCTGACCACAGAGGAGGCTGTTGGGGTTTGGTCCAAGGGAACTCTAGTCTGAAACCCTGGCTGAGTATAAAAGGCACAACTGTCTAATACAATCCCTGACTCTAAGTCAGTGGGTGCCCCACTGTCAGGCAGGATGGCCACTGAGGGCATTCTGTCCATGCTACTTGCTTTGGCAGCTGTAGTCTCCTTAATTCCTGCAGTGGTCCTATGGACTGAGTCCTCAGCAGTCCCACTTCCTATGACTTTGCTGTCCTCCCATATGCTTGTCTCTCAGAGATAAGCCACACAAGAGTGTCTACCCTACTCAGGGGCTTGAGGAGGTCCTCTGCATTTTGTCCTGGCCTGGGATGCCCAGTCTATCACTGAGACTGCTCCCAGGTCCCTGACTCTGTCCTCTCTTCCCTTTCAGGAAACGTTGAATAAGCTGCTACTGAAGAAGCCCCTGCGACCCCACAACCACCCACTGGCAACTTATCACTACACAGGTGGGCTTGGCTGGGGTGGTCATGTAGCCCAGAGCCTTCAAGGGTCTGTCAGCATCAGTGAGACCCTGCTCAGTGCTGAGTTACAGCCCTGAATGGGAATGATGAAGAGGGTAGGGTTGGGGCAGGGGTCAGTCAAGAGCCAGAGTGAGGGAATTAATATCAAGACCAAATATCTCTCCAGGGGCTCCCCAGGCCCTTGAGGGAAAACCTGAAGGAAGTAGGCAAGTGGGAGCAAATCCAGGCCAAAAAAAAAGCCCAAGTTGCAGGTACAAAGAACAGAAACTTGGGGAGTCTGATCCAAATTGGTCTGAGGTACCTGGAACTTAGCTCTAGCTCTTGGAGTACATGTCTTGTTCTAGGTATTGTACTAGAAGAGGGACATTGATCAAATCATGTAATCCTAGCAGGTATTACTGTTGATTCCCCTGGTAGGGCCACATTTATTTGCACCAGACAGGGCCCCCAAAACTCTCCTGGCATGTAGCATTTAGTCTATATCACACCAGGTAAGGCAGATTCTGATATTTACTCCCATTTGATAAGCAAGGCATCAAGAAGCCAGTAGTGAGTGTCCAAACAGGTCTGTAGTAGTCAGCTTTGCTTGCCGTGGAGACTGTGTGGATGACCTGCAGAGACTGTGTGTGGATGGCCCATAGAAACGGTGTGTGAATGGCCCACAGAGACAGTGTGTGCATCACCTGCAGAGACTGTGTATGGGTGGCCTCATACTTTGCAGTGGCTCAGAGTCATCCCCACAGTGTTTATGCTCACCTTCCTGTCCATCTTACCACCTGGCACTGTCTTTGCCCTTCAGGCTCTGACCAGTGGAAGATGGCTGAAAGGAAGCTTTTCAACAAGGGCATTGCCATCTACAAGAAGGATTTCTTCCTGGTGCAGAAGCTGGTGAGCTGGGGACAAGTGAGGGCCAGGAGTGTGGCCCTGACCAAGCCTACATTAAAAGTGGCCACATGAATAAGCTGGGGGGTGTAGCTCAGTGGTAAAATGGTAAAATGCTTGCCCAGCATGCCTGAGGCCCTGGGTTCTAGCCCCATCACTGCAATTAGATCACTGCCAATAAGTAGCTTCAGAGATAGCATTATAACCCACAGCTTGCAGAGGACACGGGGGCCCCCCCCCCCCCGCCTGCCACACACACACCCTCTGGGCTCTCAGGACTGGATTCCAAGCCTAGACACACACACACACACCCTCTGAGGCCCCCCCCCGCCCCCGGCCACACACACATACAAACACAGACACACACACCCTCTGGGCTCTCAGGACTGGACTCTCAGCCTAGACATGGCTGAATCAAGGAGCAAGTTAGGAGAGTTTCAGAGAAAATAGCCCCTGTGTAGAAATGTAGCCCTCAAACTAAGCCTAGTATCAAATAGATCTATGAAATGAGGGCTAGATGTCCCTGGAGACACTCTGGTGATTGGAGTCTCATACCACTTACTAGCTACACATGACAAAGTAGAAATTAGGAAGGTGAGTGACTTGCCATAGGATACACAGCCCTTTGGTGGCTGTTAATAGAAAGCTAGGGCCTGCTGATTCCTCTTTGAGTTTTCAGAGCTTTCTTGTTAATTTTCCTCAAATCCTTCCCAACATGGCGTGGTGACATTTATCTTCCTCACTTGGTACTACTTCCTGGAGAAGAGTGAAACTGGCTGGGCCTATGAAGGGGGTCTGGGTTGCCAGACTGAGGCTGGCTTTGGATGTGGAAGATGACCAAACACTTCCCTTTACTTTGAAAATTTTCAAATTTACAGAAAATGGGAAAGAATAATACCACGAGCAACCATTAATTAATGCCTTGCTTAGATTTACCAATTGTTAGCATTTGTCCCATTTTCTTTCTCTGTCTACATTTAAATATACATATCCATTAATATATACATCTGTTTCTCCCAATCACCTCTATTTTAGCTTATCATTGAAAGAAAGCTATAGCTGGGCTTGGTGGTAATCCCAGCTATGTGGGAGGATGAGGTAGGAGGATTCCAAGTTCAAGGCTAGCCTGGGCTACAAAGTGAGTTCAAGGTCCGCCTAGATAACGTAGTAAAATCCAGTCTCAAAATAAGAAAAGGGTCAGGAATGTTGTTTAATGGTACAGCATGAGCCTAGCATGTGCAAGGCCCTAGGTTCAATCCCCAATTATGGGGAATTGAAAAGATTATTTTCGAATAAAACGGTACTGTAAGCATTGCCGAGCAGTTTAAACTGATGTAACGTTCTCTAATATTCAGTCTACAATCAAGTCTGCCCAGAGGTTCCAGTGTTGACCTTTATTTAGGTTTTATTTATTCATTGAAAATGGTGCAGAAGCCCCAATTAATTGCATTGTTCAGGGGTTTACTACAAAGCAGACACTGAGAAATGCTTGCATTTCCCAGGTTTACTGGGTTTAGATTTTGGCCTACAGTTAAAGGGGGCATGTAGGGATGAGAAAGACTGGATTCTGCTTGGGCAGGTTAAGCCAAACCAGCAGCCTCTGATTTCAGTTTGGGCTTTAATTCAGATCCAGACCAAGACTGTGGCCCAGTGTGTGGAGTTCTACTATACCTACAAGAAGCAAGTGAAAATCGGCCGCAATGGGACTCTTACCTTTGGCGATGTGGACATAAGTGATGAGAAGTCAGCCCAAGAAGAGGTTGAAGTGGACGTTAAGGTGACTTTTTCCAGTCTCTGCTGTCTCACATTTGACTCGGTCTAGGTTAGGACTAAGCTGGAAGCCCCAAGCCAACCTCTTGGAGTTTGAGGAGGGTCAACAGAGGAAAATAGGGTCTCTGACAGCCCCCATGAGCTGGTGGCTCAGGCTCTGGACCTTTGAGTTCTCCTCTCTAGACTGCTGGGATCATAGTGATAGTGCTGATGCAGAACACTGGATAGCCTGCCAGCTTCACCTGTTTCCTCGGAGCAGACCTCTAACACTGCTTCTGGAGTGCTAGCCATTCTTGCACCACTTTTATAATTTCTTCTCTGCTTGTGCCCTACCATGTGCCACCATTACTATTTCTGTCATGTCCCCATACCACTTTTAATATTTTTCTTTGAGTCAACTCATTTTTAACTCAAAAGGGAAACTTTATATTGCAATCATAAATAGAAAACCAGTATTTTTCCTATAAATAGAAGGTACTGGTTTAAAAAAAATTTATATATATATATGAATATACATATATATATATATATATGAATGAAAACCAAACACTAAATACCAGCTAGATGCCATGTGTTGCCTGCCAGGGTTCGGAGACTGAGGCCTGACTGCTCTTTTTAAAGAGATTGTCAGGTCTAGGGAAACAGAAAAGGCAAATTAACACCAACCCCAGACTTTGCCCTTGACTTAACCAGGATTAAAAGAGAATTGAAGCCGGCAATTGATCCCAGCACTCGGGAGGCAGAGGCAGGTGGATCTCTGAATTTGTGGCCAGCCTAGTTCACAGAGTGAGTTCCAGGACAGCTGGGGCTACAGGGAGACCCTGTCTCAAAAAAAAAAAGAGAATTGAAAAGATGCTGTTACTTAATTTTTTGCCCATGCACCCATGCATCTTCTTGACATTGTCTCAGGGTTACAAGTCCACACTTGATGGCATGCTATTATGAGACAGGGAGTGGTTTGGTCCCCGTGTTGCAGGTGAGAAGCAAGTGGAGATACAGAAAGTGTTGCAGATAGTTAGAAACTAGAGCTTAAGGTTCCTGCCTGGCACATGAAGTACTCTGTCCAAGGGTGCCCAGAAGACTGGGCATCTATCCAGAAGGCCAGGTGGTTTATGGGTCCTAGCATGCTCCTTTCCTGCCCCTGGCTCAATCTTAAGTGCTCAGTCTCACCCTGAGTGCATTTAGGGTCAAGACTCTGCTGTTTTCAGGCCAACTAGCCATGGGAAGGCTGTGACCTGTGACAAAGTCCCAGTACAAGAAGCTACACTAAGCCAGGATAGGATAGCAGGGCCAGCAGGGACTCAGGAGCCCTGGTTGGGCCTGAATCAGTGCACATTGTGATATGACTGAGCTCATTCTTGTCCCTTGTAGACTTCTCAGAAGTTCCCAAGGGTACCTCCTCCCAGAAGAGAGTCCCCAAGTGAAGAGAGGCTGGAGCCCAGGAGGGAAGTGAAGGAGCCTGGGAAGGAGGGGGAAGAGGAGATGCCAGAAACCCAAGAGAAGGGGGAACAGGAAGAGGGTCGAGAGCGCAGCCGGCGAGCAGCTGCTGTCAAGGCTACGCAGACACTACAGGCCAATGAGGCGGTAAGTAACCTCCACCTCCACTCTCTGAGCCCAGGGCCAGGACAGCTGAGCTAGGCCTGGGGATATGGGTGGGAAGGCAGAGCAAGATCACTTTGATCCCTGTAGTCATAGTACACCAAGTGCACCAGGTGCCTTATACTCTTGACCCATTTAGTCTTCAACCCTGTGTGCTAAGGAGCTATTTATTTATCTCATTTTATAGATGAGGAAACTGAGGTTGAAGGTAACCAAGCTTGTAGGCAGCCTGATTCCATTGTGCAATGTATCTTTATACTATAACTGCTTCTGTATCTGAGATTCAGAGGAGAAATGCCTTGTGGAAACTCAGTAGGTGTGTGGAACAGTGGGGAAGTATTCATAAGCTGCAGCTCAGGTGGAGCTCTCTTAAGAGCATGTGCCTGATAAGAATGTCTGAACTAGAGCCATGACAGTGAGAGTGCCAGTAATGGCCCCTTTCTTCTCTTAGTGTTTCATTTCCATTATCTCATCAGTTCCTCCTAACACCATAAAGTACTAACAACCCCCCCCCCCCAGATGGAAGAACCAGGTCCAGAGATGTCATTTCACTTGCCTGAGTCATACCCAAGGTCCTTAGATTCCTAGTGCAGGGCTCTGGCCCCATCATAGCTAAAGTGAGACATCTCATCACCGCTCCCCCACTGGTTCTCTCTCCCAAGAAGGTGGGGAGCTGGGAAGGTGTTTGCACACTTATGCCTATACAACACCTGTCAGCCAAACACAGCTGCTTGCTTCCTCTGAGCTCGGCTGCTCCTGTGGCTGGAGCTGTGCCAAGCCCTCACTGTCCAATTCTGCTGCCCTTGTGAACTTTCTTTTGAGGGTTGATCCAGGGCACACATCACTTTTTATGGCCATCTGGGATGCCTCATCTGAGGCCCAAAGCGCATTCTTGCAGTCCTCACCATGGTCCTCTCCTCTCTGACACCTTTTCTCCCTGCCCCCCCTCCACCTTCTGTTCCCTCCTGCAAGCATTTCCTCAGCAAGCAACCAGCACATCTGTCCCTTCTACTAGACCTGGACCTTTCTGGAGACCCAGTCCCTGTCTCTGAGCCTGTCTCCCCACTGCCTGGCACATCATGTGAACCTAAATATCTTTCTGGCCTGAAGGCATGATTTGACTAGATGTCAGAACACATGAAGACCCTGGTGAGAAGTGTAAAAATGTCTTCTATCTGCAAGGGCTGCTGCATGAAATTCTTGTGCCAGTCACTTTGTAAATGATAGAGCCAGCTCAAGCAGCAGTGGCCTTCTGGAGACTGTCAGGGCATTCTGTCACTCAAGGACTCACGGGATATACTAGGTAACCAGCTGGCAGGAGTGTATGACCTTTATAGAACCGTCTGTACACCGAGATTCCAGAATTCTGAATCTGCTCTTCTGTCTGTACAACTCAACCCTCCTTGTTGATTGTCTGCAGGCCAATGATATCCTCATCCTCAGGAACCACGAGCCCAATGCCCCTGGGACCGCAGGTACTCAGACCTCTGAGAAGCCAAGGGAGGGGCCAGGGAAGTCACGGAGGGCGCTACCTTTCACCGAGAAGAAGAAAAAGCCCGAGGCATTTAGTAAGACCCAGAATCAGGAGAACACTTTCCCTTGTAAAAAGTGCGGCAGGTAAGAAGTCTCTGGTCCCCACAGGGGTCTACTCCAGTGTGAGGCTGGGACTGGGGGCAGAACAGGGGTGGAGTCTGGTGGGGGGATGGCAGGAGGGGGAGGGGAAGGGGAAAGGGGGGACGATTCATTGTGTCT